TCAGCAATACCATAGCATCAAGCACAGCTTAGAAAATGACAATTTGTGTTAGTTATTAATCTATCACTTTTAACTATGTAAGTTAAATTAAAACTGAGGACCAACCCAACATAAGTTTATAGTGAATCAACTCTTCAATATAGCATCTTTCCCCTTCAGGGTGGGGAGTTAAAAGGAGTTGGGGAGGGAGGGACAGGTAGAAAGAACAGATAAGATTAGCGGTGAGGCCAGAAGACACAGAAAGATCACACAAACTCTAAGAAGTTGTTAAAGGCAAGAGAAAATGGCAGAATGAAAGAACAAAGATGTGAATAGAATCACCTATCAGCAACAGGGAGGCTAGATACCAAATTTACTTTCCTTTAAACCTAATGATAATCGAGAGAAGGAAAAAGAGAAGAAAAGAACATTAAGGGAGAAATCCGAATTCAGTGCAGAAAGAACAAATGGGGAGATGAGGGGCAATGTGGGACAGTGAGAGAATGAATGAGAGAGAAAGAAAAGATGAAAAGAAAGAAGTAAAACTTTGAAGAGTAGAAAAAAAGTAAAAATTAAGAATAAAAAATTATTTTTCTTTTTTGTGAATAGCAATAGAAATTATGGGCCTCCTTCAGGGTATGTCTCTGCTGTCACAATAGGCAACCTAGGAATCCCCGTGCATATACAAGTTAATGAGTCTCAGCAAGCCAGCAGCAGACCAGGTACAGTGGTCTGATGTGCCTTTGTTGTGGAGGTTCTCTTTGCTTTTCTGCTGAGCTTCAGTTTTCTTCGAGGAGCCTGAGAAGCCCTCTTTCTGTTACTAACTTCTGCTCTATCTTGTGGCGCTCAGGACAAGGGTCTTTATAATCTCTTGTGCCTCTATAGTGTGGGACCAGGTAGCAGAAAAGCCAGAAGGTAGGCGGCGCACCGGGTGGGGGGACTGAGCATTGGAAGTGCCCGGGCGGCTAAACGGACCTCACCGTGCCGTGGGCGTGGCCCGGGACGGCCGCAGGAGCTTCAAGCTGCTTGTCTTGTCTCACCCGGCCGGTCGCCGTGGCCTCATGGTTTTGTTTTTTTTGTTGCAGATAAGAAAAACTAAGGATCAGAGGGGATACGAGCTGCTCAATGTCACATAGTCAAGGACAGAACCAGGATTGGGATCCTAGTCTGACTCCAAAGCCAGTGTTTGTATTCATCTAGCCACTCTTCTGATCCATCCATTGCTTTCAGCATCTCTTTATTCGTTTATTCAGCTGCTGTTCCCTGAGCATTTACCATGTGCCTGAGCCCAGACAATAATTATAAACCAGACCAACAAAAGCTCTGCTAAGGCTTTGGTCTAACAGGCAGGTAGCTGGATAGGTGTTAGTGAAGGGGTCCAGCTTGATGGATAGGGACTGTGCTGTTTTGAAGTTCCTTCTCATCCAGGTCTGTGCTTTCATTCCTCAGAGAATAGAGAACTCTTCATAGCATAGGCAAGCCTTCGTGTTGCTGGCAGATCGACTATCTATGGTCTTTCCCCAGGTTTGGTCGCAGGCGTGTGATCATCAAGAAGGGGCAGAAGGGCAGCAGCTTTTACTTCATCTACCTAGGAACACTTGCAGTGACAGAGGATGAAGATGGCAGCAGTGCCTTCCTGGACCCCCACCCGACATTGCTGCAGAAGGGCAGTTGTTTCAGGGTAAGGTCAGGGGAGGGGCCTGGCTTCTTGGGTTGCAGCTGGGGTGAATAGGAGTCCTGCTCAAACCTCTTGACCAGGCCCTGTTTGGGCCCCAGTGCCTTTATCTATCAAATGCTGAATGAGTTGGACCAGGTAATGTTCAAAGCTGACCTCTTCACCTGAAGCTTAAGAAGTATGTTACCTGTATAACCCCTTGAGACACAGTGACTCCACAATGAGGCCTCTCTAGCTTCCTCTCCTCTGGCCTGTCCAGGCCTATTGCTTCTTTTTCCACCAGCAGCAGATGAGTTGGGGTGGGGAGAAATCACATAGGAGAGAAAGCAAGAGCATAATGGGGGCCAGGGAGCCTCAAGTCTGGAGAGGAGATGTTTCAGGAGGGAGATCAAAGGGAAGGTGTGTGCAGGGCTGTGAGCAGAAAGCTGGAGGTGGCCTCACACTTGGCCCGTTCCTATCCACTCAACAGGAAAAGCCCCTTCTGAATGCATCAGTAAGGTGGGCCACTGTGGCCTGCATGGAGGAGACAGAGTTCCTGGTTGTTGACGGGGAGGACTTCCTTGCTAATAAGCTGGATGAGGAAATTCAAAAGGATACTCAATATCGATTTGAGTTCTTTAGGTAACTCCATTCAACATCTTTCTCTCCTTCTTTGTTCCTTAGTGCTTGACTTTTTCCTAGGCCTGGTAAGAAACTTCCCAGGTGCTGTTATCTCTGCCTGGAATGCTATGAAATATCAACCTCCCACCCAACTTTTCTGTCTAGCCAAATTCCTACTATACCTTCAGGTCTCAACTCAATTGACTTCCTTGTGGGATAGCAAAAATAAGACCAGCTAATATAGATTGAACGGCCCCTGCCTCGCAAGCTCAAGGTCCTGAGTTCGATCCCCAGTACCAAAAAAAAAAAATTTCTTCTGTAGTTTATATTTTCTATCAGACAGTAAGCAGTCTAGTGGCAAAGACAGATTTATAATTTCACCATTATAATTCTCATGTTGTCATTGTGCTAGGCACATGCAGATGTCCAACAAGTAAACATTGAATAAATCAGTTACAGGATACAAGTAATTCCAGCCATATGTGGGGCTGAAAGTAAGCACCTTGGTTATGGAAACCATATATGACAACAACAACTAAAAAACAATTCATATAAAGCAAAAGATTTTTGTTCTGATTACTTACATAAACGGCCAGATAAAGATGTATAAGCTAAATCTCATTTAGCATTCTTTAGTTATTTGCCTTTATGTAAAAGAACAAAAATCCAATGAAACATCTGCACTGGCTCTAAAAATACTGGTTGCAGTGTGCCACAGCTATAGAGATGGATGAGAGAGGGGCTGGTCCCTGTGACTGGAACCAAGAAAGTCCCAGCATCACAAAAAGGGTGGGACCTGGGAAAGGGAGGATTTAGTTCTGAGGGGAGGAGCTGTTCCATTTTTTCAAACTGTGGAAAAATAGGTCTGACTTGTTATCTCTGCTCTTAGGCTTGTTAAAAGGAAAATTCCATAGACTGATTATTTGAGCAGAGCAAAGCAAAAATAATTTGAGAATCAGGCAGTTCTCAGAGCCAAAGCCAGTTTTGAGAATTTCAACCAACAATGAGTTCACATAGCATTCATAGGAAAACAGATATGAGGCATAGAAAACAACATAATTGGCTACAGCCTAGTCAATCAACCAGTCAGTTGGTTACAGTTTAACTAATTAACTGTTTATAGCGCAATCAGTTCACTGGCTAGCAGGGCCTGCTGCACCCAGTTAGCTCACTTACTGTGATTAAACTCTGTTGGTTTGGTCTGTGGGCCCAGCACAGTTACCAATCCCAAATCCATAGCCTCCTGCAAATTCTGCTCAGCAGGCTTATCCACAAAGTAACTTTGAACAGGTTGCTTCATTTTTCTGAGCTTTATCCTTCTGCTCTGTAAAAGGAGGTGATGACACTTCTCTCCCAAGCTAGTAAGGGTAAAGGTGAGGCCTGAATTAACTTGAGTTAGCCCAAGTTAACCTTGAGTCCACCTGTGCTAACTCAGCCTGCGTCAGTTGAGTTCTGAGCACATAACCTGTTGATGCTGAGAAAATCTAAGATGATTATTAGCCCCATTAGCCATATATGAGAGAAAACAAGCCTGTGATCAGTGGTAGAGGAGGTCAGGGGAAAGGATGGTCACTGTGGGGTATGCCTTCAACCACAGGGAACAACAGGCAAAAAGAGGAGAATCCAGAAGTACCTCAACTCCCTAAGTAGGGGCCAGGGATTTAGCTCAGCGGCACCATGCCTGCCTTGCAAGCACAAGGTTCTGAGTTCGATCCCCAGTACCCCCCCCCCCCAAAAGGCTCCTCCTAGGCCTAGAGCCATCAGGACAGAGGCAGGCAGGTGGAATGAGCTGCCCCAGTAAAAGTAGGACCAGGACAACTGGGCCAGGGGATAGAATAACCAGTGAACTTAAGTAGGAAATATCCTGGCCATATTCCTGGGAATGAGTCTAGCTTAGTGAACCACAAAGTCAGGGGTGGGTATCTCCTCACCAGTTCAGACTGGGGAGGGTCACTTGAGATTCGGGCAGCCTGAAGAAGAGACACAGAAGTGTGGACTGGATTAGACATCTTTATTCAGCTGCTCAGCTATAGTCTATCTGTTTAGCCACTCTTGTGGCCCCAGCTACTGTACACATGCAGCAGACCTTGGCTGCTTATTCTCCCATTCTTGCAGCCATCCTCAGCTGCTTAGTCTACATTTACACCAAAATACACAAAAGTGGCCATGTGCCAGTAACGACCTTGGTTATATAAGTTATTTACACCGGCCAGCATTGACCTTGGCTACAGTAGTTATTTACATTGGGGTATCAGGAAATGTGCCTGCACTTGGGTCCTGTTGACACAGAACCCACTGTCAGATCTCCTTTACCCCACAGCCTGAACCAAAGTACTGCCATATTGCGCTTTCATGTTTCCCTATGGGGGCAGGGATGGAGAAGTAGAAATGAGAAAAGCTCAACTGGATCAACTCAGGGATATCTGAGCAGCAGCCAAGAGGGACATTTGCTTGGAGAGGAGGGCCTTGAGAAGAGGGTGTGGGAGATTGGCTCTGGGTTAGGTGAGTTAACTGGGTAAGGTATGGTAAAATCTTCCACCTCAGAAATTTTCACAAGTAGAAAAGCACTGGGCATGGTGGTGCATGCCTGTAATCCCAGCACTTGGGAGGATCTCCACAAGTTCGAGGCCAGCCTGGGCTATATAGAGTTCAAGGCCAGCCTGAACCACATAGCAAGACCCTGTCTCAAACAAACAAACAAACAAACAAAAGAGTAGAAGAGGATGTTCCCTTTTGGTGCTAAGATCTGGGCCACCTTATGTAATACAGAGTGATGATGAATTCTAACAAGATTTTTCCTGCAGGAACATGGATCTGTTTCAGTCCTGGTCTGATGAGAGGCTCTGGCAGCTAGTAATCCTGGGCAAGATAGAGAAATTCTCATATGGCCAGCTGATCACAAAAGACTTGGCAGAGTCATCCTGCATCATGTTTATCTGCAAGGTGAGAACTCCAGTGGTGATGGTGCTGGGATGAAGCTAGGAAGAGCAAGCCTAACCTGATGTCCTGTGGCCAGACTCTTTCACAATATACAAGGTTCGCTTCATGTTCTGACCTTCCTCATCCCAGCTGTCAAAGGCAAACATTATTCTTTGTCCTGCCTGCCTCAGAGGGTTGCTGTGAACTTTGTGTTGTTTGGTTTTTTGTTTGGTACCGGGGATTGAACTCGGGACCTTGCACTTGTGAAGCAGGCGATGGAATCACTGAGCTAAATCCTCGGGCCTGCTGTGAACTTTAAGATGTACTGTAGGGCCGGGGATTTAGCTCAGTGGTTTCGCCACCTCCTGCGCAAGTGTAAGGACCCAAGTTCGATCCCCAGTACCAAAAAATAAGATGTACTGTAGTTCCCCTACTAATGGGGGGCACACACTGCAAGACTTTCAGTGGATATCTCAAACTGTGAACAGTACCTAACCCTCTGTATGCTCTGCTTTCCCATACATACCTGCCTATGATAAAGTTCAATTTATAAACTATGCACAGTAAGGGATTAATAATAACCAATCATAATATTAGACAATTATAATATACTATCATAAAAGTTATGTGAATGTTGTCTCTCTCAAAACATCATGTACTGTACTTGTGATGATGTAAGATGATACTTAAAGAAAACTTCTCTTTGACATATCTGAATTGCCAGCATCAGTACTCTAGTGCTTGGAGCAATTATTAAGTAAAATAAAGGTTATTTGAACACAAACTGTGATACTATGGCAGTTGATCTAATAATGGAGACAGCTACCAAGTGGCTTGACAAAAGTATGATTTCATATCCCAGTAGGAAAGAGAGGGATGGCCGGAGATATAATCATGCTATTCAGAATGGATAATTGGCCAGACGTGGTGGCGCATGCCTTTAATCTCAGCACTTGGGAGGCTGAGTGGCAGGAGAATCACCATGAGTTTGTGGCCAACCTGGGTTATATAGTGAGTTCAAGGCCAGCCTGAACTATATAGTGAGACCCTATTTCAAAACAAAACAAAAAACCCCAGAATTGTACACAATTTAAAACTTATTAATTGTATATTTCTGGAATTTTCCATTTAATATTTTGAACCATAGTAGATCTCACATAAAATCCCTGGTCATACTTCACATGCCTTATCTCTTTACAATCTCACAAGAGTCTCAGAGATGTTGGTAGAGTCATATTCCCTTTTTACAGAGGAGCAAACAGAGACGTAGGAAGGTTAAGTTGCTATGGAAGGTCATATGCTTGATGAGGGGCAGAAGGAAGGTTCTACTAGGTTTTTTTGATTCCAGAGCTCTTTTTGGGAGCTGGGAGTTAAGTTGACCTTTCTGTCAGTGCCTTACATGTCAAGTCACAATAGACATTTGTTAAGTTTTTGCCAAGATCATGATATATTGGTACAGGATCTAGAAAGATACAAAGATGGAAAAGACTGGGTCCCTCTTTGTATACTTCCTCCACTAGATTCTGAGCATAGACAAAGCTGTCAGTGCCAAGTACCAAGTGGTAGGTGCAAATTGCAAGTTCCAAGAATTCAGGGGAGGAAACTTCTCTGGAAGATGGAGGCCTTAAAGAATGCTTCCCAGGCCCAGGGATTTAGCTCAGTGGTTTCACCGCCTGCTGCGTTAGCGCAAGGACCCAAGTTCGATCCCTGGTACCAAAAAATTCCCAGAGGAGGTGAGTGGGAGGATGAGCCTGGTTGTGTTCTGGAGCTGGCTTGTACTTCCCCACAAGAGTTGATTGTTAAATATTCAGGAATGTTGTGGGTTGGTAAACACAATAATCATTAAAATTAAATGGTATAGGGCCAGGGATTTAGCTTAGTGGTTCCGCCACCTGCCTTGCAAGCAGAAGGTCCCGAGTTTGATCCCCGGTACCAAAAAAAAGAAAAAAAAATTAAATGGTAAAAGCCTACAAGTAAATAAGTTATATTAGAAACAAGCTTTCTAAATACTGAGAGCTCATCATTTTCTAATCATACTGAATTTACTATCATCTATGTCCTTGAGGTTACATCTTTAATAACTACATGTTAGAAATACTATATAAATGTGTACATCTCTTCATAACTACACATTTAGTGACCTCACATTAGTAGTTTACAGTGAGAATAAGCAAATACCCTGTCAGGTCTTGGTTCATGGCTTTGCTGGTTTTCTTAAGAAAGTAATTAGAGGGGGCCAGGGATTTAGCTCAGTGGCACTGCGCCTACCTTGAAAGCACAAGGTCCTGAGTTCCATCACCGGTACCCGGGGTGGGGGGTGGGGGTGGTAACAAGAACTGGGCATGGTGGTACATGCCTGTAGTCCCAGCACTGAGGAGGCTGAGGCAGGAGGATTGCTATGACTTTGAGGCCAGACTGAGGTACATAGTAAGGTCAAGGCCAGTCTGAACTACATAAGCAAGACCTTATATCAAAAAAAAAAAAAAGTGGGCTGAGTCTGCAGCCCTTACATTGCAAAGGAACAATCTTAGGAACTATCCTACCAGCATTTAGGAACTATTATTTGATGTATCATAAAACTTAATTATTGATGAACAATTGAAATTCTGACTTACATAGTGCTAACACTTAAAAAAATTCAATATAATGAATACAATTCATGTGAAGGAGAGAAATAAATAGTAGATCACAAATAAGTTTTAACAACATTAAATTTATTGAGAAAAGACTGGATTGGGGAAGCTGGGAGTGGTGACGCTCATCTGTAATCCCAGCACTTGGGAAGCTGAGGCAAGAGGATCACCATGAATTCGAAGCCAGCGTGAGCTACATAGTGAGACCCTGCCTTAAGTCCCCCCCACCAAGTTTTTTCTTTTTTTTTTTTAAATTCTAAAGAGGAGATTGGTAATGAATCAATCTCTCACTCTAGAAATTTGTTCCTTAGTCTGGAATGTGCATTAGAGTAAGTGCTGCTGGTAATTCTTTTTTTTTATACCGGGGATTAAATTCGGGCTCTTGTGCTTGTGGGGCAGGTGACGGAACAACTGAGCTAAATCCTCGCCCCTGCATGTAATTCTAATACTGGAGTACTTTAACCTCATTCTAAGAAAAATGATGGAGGTCACAAAGTGTCAACAGGTAGAAGGGCTTTGGGCCAGCAGATGAGTTTAGTTTGTCTGTTATAGTGTTTCACTAAAATCTGATTTAATTGTACAATCTTTAATTAAGGTTTTATAAGCAAAGTCTGATTTCTAGCTTTGAGAATTCTGGACAGGAAACAACAAGCTATATTCTACTGTGGCCCCCTCTGCCTGGAATTGAAAAACCCCTGCCCACTCTAAAGGGATTGCTCTTTTTTCTCACTTTTATTTTCCCTTGAATTTTCCTCTGCAAGACCAGGCAGTTCCAATTTTGCTTGTGCTGCCACTAGAGGACAAAATCAACAGCTGGTGGCTAGATGTTCTTTGGATCTGGGAAAGTTGGAAAACATGATTTCCTGCTGGCATTGAAAACATAATGTCCGTAAACAATTCATTCTGAGTTGTTGATCATTTGAGGATACATGGTAAAACAGTTCTCCCCACAGATATAGATATAATTAAAGACCCACAAGAGACGTTCCAAGAAGAATCTTGGCATTTTGTTCTCTAACACCTGCAGTTCCTGGGTGTTGAATGTTTGTTGAATGAACATTGAATAAAGCTCCAAGCACAATACCCGCATATAATAAGGGCTTATTAAATATTTGCTCCTTTCTTTTCCTTCCTTGACAACTGTAATCTGTCTTGAACCTTAGCCCTTTACACTGTATCTGTTAGAGTTCCTATATTTTTTTATTAAGTTTATTGGTACATTTTAGGTATACAATACAGTTACATTCATCATTGGGAACTTGTACCTTTACATGATGTATCTTGGTTCTTATTTTTCCCCATTCCCCTGCCCTCACTTCAACACCTCTAGAGTTCCTATTTAAAAAGGGGGAGTGGGCCGGGGATTTAGCTCAATGGTTTCACTGCCTGCTGCACAAGCGCAAGGACCCGAGTTTGATCCCCAGTACCAAAATAAAATAAAATAAAATAAAAAAATAAAAAGGGGGAGTGTTTTATTTTGTTTTGTTATGAGATGGGATCTCACTCTGCAGTTCAGGCAGGTCTTGAACTCACTATGTAGCCCTGACTGGCCTTGAACTCGTGGTGATCCTCCTGCTTCAGCCTTCTGAGTGCTGGGCTTACAGGTGTGTGCCACCATGCCCAGCAAAAAAATGGGTAAGATTTTATAAAGGTAGGAAATAAAAAGGAGAAATGGCATACCTTTCTTACGTGTCAGATTGTCAAAGTTTAAAAGTATGAAAATGCAGTGTTGGGAAAGATGTAACAGGCTCTGTCTGGAAGACAGTTTAGCAATGGGTATCAAAATTTAAAATATGGATATTTTAGGAATTATTCCCGGGGAGATAATCAAATGTGGACATTGTGTTAGGATAAACTATATTATGCTACAAAAAAAAAAAAAAAAAAAAGATTAAGAACATTTCTGGCAGCCCAGAAGACTCCTTTTGGCCCTTCTCAGACAAAATTCCCCTACAAAGATAATCACTCTCATATCACCACAAATACTCACTGTGGTTTTGTTTGTTTGTTTTTTTGTTTTGATACCAGGGATCGAACTCAAGTCCTAGCACTTGCGAGGCAGGCGGCGGAACCACTGAGCTAGATCCCCAGCTCTACTCACTGTGTTTGACTTGCTCAACTGAATATTTGTTGCTTTTAATTTTATAAGGTATAGCATATATAGAATAATATATAGTCATTAAAATGATAATGTAGAACAATGAAAAGATGTTCTTGATTTATTATTGAATTTCTAAAATGGGCACAAGAGCCTGTTTTACATACTCAAATCCACTTATGAAAACTTGTATGTAAATGTCTTATATGTTCATAGAGAAAAGTTTGAAGTAAGTGCTTGCGAGTCAGGAGCAATGCCACTGAGATAAATTCTTGGCCCCTGAAGTAATATTTTGTAGTATGTTTCTATTAGTTATTTCTGACTATTCAGATAATGTAGTTTTAACTTTGTGTTCTTCTGTTTTGTTTAATTTTAGAACAATTTTAAATTTTTAGAAAAAGTTGCAAGAACAGTACAGAAACGCCTAAATTACCTTACTGAAATTCACCAGTTAACATTTTGCCACATTTGCTTTTATATTTTCCCTGCCTGAATCATTGGAAAATCATTATACTCATTTATTTCTTTTTTTCTAACAAATTTTATTTTATTTTATTCCATTCCACTTCTCAAGCCCCCTCTGTTCCCTATGACTCATTTATTTCTGTATACTTTTTTTTATTTTGGTACTGGAGATCCAACTTGGGACCTTGTGCTTGCAAGGCAGGCTGTGGCACCACTGAGCTAAATCCCCAGCCCTATATACTTTTTTTTTTAAACAAGGCTTCACTATGTAGTCCTGCCTGGTCTTGAACTCACTATGTAGCCCAGGCTGGCCTCAAACTCAAGATCCTCCTGTCTCAGCCTCCTGAGTGCTGGTATTATACGCACGTGCCACTGTGCCTGGGCATTAGTGATTATAAGATCAGAAATCAGGCCGGGTATTTAGCTCAGTGGTTTCCCCACCTGCTGCACAAGTGCAAGGACCCGAGTTCGATCCCCAGTACCAAAAAACAAAACAAAACAAAGAAATCAACTGCAGAATAATTATTAAAATTAAGGAATTAAGGGTTGGGGATTTAGCTCAGTGGTTCTGGCGCCTGCCTTGCAAGTGCAAGGTCTGGTGTTCAATTCCCAGTACCAAAAACCAAACAAACAAAATCAAGGAATTATAATACTGATAGAATGTATAATTCACAATCATAATCAATTTTACCAGCTGACCCAATGATGACAATTTTACCAGCTGATGCAGTGTCTTTATGGTGACTTTTTTCCCCAGGGACAGCATTGTATTGTATACCTCCATTCACAAACAGTTCAGTTCTCAAAAGCATTCAACAAAATTTTGCTTCCATTCATAAACTCTATTGGTGACAAACACAACTGTGGCCATCTTCCTCACACAAACACAAACATGACATCTTCCCCAAAATTGTAAAACAAAATAAGTTTGTGAACCCAGGCACCACTGTATTTAGGGTTTTTTGTTTGTTTGCTTTTCTTTTTTGTTGTTGTTGTTTGTTTGTTTGTTTTTTGAGACCGGGTCTCACTATGTATTCCAGCCTGGCCTTGAACTCACTATGTAGCCCAGGGTGGCCTTGAACTTGTGGTGATCCTTCTGCCTCAGCCTCCTGAGTGCTGGGATTATAGGCATGTACCACACCATGCCCAGCTGTATTTAGTTTTTATGCTTCTTTAGCTATTTGCATTTTTTTATGATGAGTAGATAGCAGTTTAATTAAAGAGAAGAAAGGAATACAAAACAACTTGCATTAGCAAATGAAACAAAAAGGAGTGAGCTGCAATATAGAGAGCTTACTTGCGAATCCTAGCCTGCCTGGTGCATCGAGGTTTAACCCTTTATTTGTACTCTTGATGTGTCCAGGGCAGCTGTGAAGTCCTCTGGCTGATAGACCTTGGGACTTCCCCTTACTATTACAAGTGGATCTGGTAGCATCTGGAGTTGATAGATGACAAGCCCCTGAGGGCTCACCTCAACGGTAAGCCAGATGGCTGCATGAGGTGGCCCTAAGCATTGCCGTGGGCGCCTGGGTTCTGTCCTGGTTCCATTTCCTAGCTCTAGAGCTTCAAGGGCCAGACAAGATGTCTGGTTTGATCCTTCCACCAGCTACAGAAACCTTGTCCACAGGCCCTGACTCCTTTCCAGTTTCCTCTTGAGATTCCCACCTTCCATGCTGCAGGTTCTACCATATGGCCACTTATTCCTTTCCTCACACATCCCAATTCACTCACCCATTTATGCCCAACTCTCTCCTGCTTTTTAGATCTTAGAATGAACATCCTTTCCTCAGAGAATGATCCCTGACTTCTCATGCTGGATCAGCATCTTCTATCACTCATTACTATATATATCCCATTTACCCTGTATTTCTCTTCTGTGCTACTTAACTCTTCTGAAATTACATCATTGGATATGAAATGGTTATTAATTATCTGTCTGTCTTGGTAAATTTAAGCTCTATAATGAGCTAGGCATTAGGGCCTAGAAACTCCTGATGTCTGGCAGATATTCTGAATTGAATCACAGAATCAGTAAATAAACATGTTAGCTGTTATGTATGGTTATGGGTTGCTTGGAGCTAGACAGAGCTCCCACTTAGTAACTAGATAGATTTCATGAATACTTAGGGTTTCTGGGCCTGTTTCTTCTTTGTGGTTAAGAGTACAAACTCAGGAGCTCCATTACTTGTTTGAATACAGGTTTCTTCTTAAGTAGCTCTTTTTTTTTCTGCTGTGAATCCACTAGAGAAAAAGCCACATTATACAAACTTTATTTTTTAATTTTTTGGTTTTTTTGAGACAAGGTCTTGCTAGGTGGTCCAGGCAGGCTGTCCTTGAACTCACTGTGTAGATCAAGTGGGCCTCAGTCAAAATGATCCTCCTGCCTCAGCCTCCCAAGTGCTGGGATTACAGGTGAGCCACCACACCTGGCTCACCCACAAACTTTATATTCTTTTTTTTTCTTTTTTTTTTTTTTGTACCGGGGATTGAACTCGGGTCCTTGTGCTTGTGCAGCAGGCGGCGAAACCACTGAGCTAAATCCCCAGCCCCCACAAACTTTAATATGTTGTGTTTTCATTGTCATTCAGTTAATACTTTTAAATTTCCCTTTTTATGTCTTTGATTCATTGAATATATAAAAGGATATTACTTGGTATCCAGACATTTGGGGATTATCCAGCTATCTTTATGTCATTGATTTCTGTGATAACATACTTTAGTTTGAATCCTCTTAAGTATATTGAAACTTGTTTTGCGACCCAGAATATAATCTGTCTTGCTAAATGCTCTATTTGCATTGGAAAAGAATATGCTGTGATTGGGTACAGCATGCTATGAATGTTAATCAGGTGCAGTTGGTTGATAGTGTTAGTCAAGCCATTTATATCCTTCCTGATTTTCTGTCTACTTGTTCTATCTGTTGTTAATAGAGCATGATGTGATGGTGCATGCCTGTAATCCCAGCAGTCAGGAGACTGGGGCAAGAAGATTGCCATGAGTTCCAGGCCAGCCTGGGCTACATAGTGAGTTCAGAACTAGCCTGCACTACAAAGTGAGACCCTGTCTCAAAAAACAAAAAGTTGTTAATAGAATGTGTTGTTAAAATCTCCAACTACAATTATAAATACAAGATGTGATCAAAAATTTGGTGAATATTTAGAATTTTAAAAAATTATTACAAGGGCTGGGGATTTAGCTCAGTGGTTCCATCACCTGCCTCGAAAGTGCAAGGTCCTGAGTTTGATCCCCGGTACCAAAAAAAAAATTGTTACAGTAAAAGACATTATCATTAATTCACTTCAAAATACTCCGTCTCATTTCAAACACTGTATCCCATTGTTCTTGCCACTTTCTTGAAGTCCTCTTTAATGAATGTCTCTATATAAAGTGTGATAGGGCCAGAGATTTAGCTCAGTGGTTCTGCTGCCTGCCTCTCAAGTGCAAGGACCCAAGTTCCATCCCTGGTACCAAAAAAAACCCCAAAGTGTGATAAAGAAAAATACAGTGAATACTGCTGCCATGTGCCATTAAATGGAAGGACAGGGTTTTGAAAACATTGTGGCACATCCTCATTCACCTTATTCACTGGATCTGGCACCATGCAATTTCTGGCTCTTCCCTGAAGTCAAAATGACCATGAAAGGTCAACATTTTGAATTGACTCAGGACATCAAAGCAGCCATGATAGTACAACTAAAGACACTTATGAAAGAGTACTTCCAGAACTGCTTCAGAAGGTGATGACGATGATGGATAAATATGTTTGAAGAAATGAGGAGTAATTTGAAGGAAGGTTAATGGCAATGTGTCTTTTACTGTAACAATTTTTTAAAAAGCCCTGTTTCTATCATGCCTTGTATATTTTTCCTTGCATCTCTCTCTCTCTCTCTCTCTCTCTCTCTCTCTCTCTCTCTCTCTTTGAGAGAGTCTCATTATGTAGTTCAGGCTGGCATTAAACTCACTGTGGCCTCGAACTCACAACAATCCTCCTAACTCAACCTGCTGAGTGCTGGGATTACAGGCCTGGACTACCACTCCCAGCCTTTACTTGGTTTTCTATCAGGGTTTTGTTTTGTGTGGGTGGGTGGGTACTA